ACTTCAAGATGATCAAAGTTCATTAATGGCCGTATTGAACAAAAAAAGATTTATGTATTGATTAGGGGTGTCAACTTTGCGTTCCGTTCCTAGGAAGGGGGAACGCTACCCCGTTTCCGTTCCTGGGAACGGGGAACGCTGAACACTCAAACATAAAAAGAAAAGTGAATATGTCTAGAGACCTCGCCATGTTGAAATATAGCGTGGAAATGCGATTTTGACAAGCGTTCCCGTTCCTAGGAACGGAATGCTGAGGAACGGGGACGCTGACACCCCTAGTATTGATGGTCTTCAAGAACAAATTGTTACTCTTCAACAATCTAATGATGATCTTAAACAATCTAATGATGATCTTAAACAATATAATGATCATTTGCAATACGAACTGAAGTTGTTAAAAATGATTTGTGGTATATGACATTATATTTTTAAAAATTGATCGTCATTAGATTTCTGTTTCTTTAGGTCTTACATCGTTATCGACAATTGCGCTTGGTGCATATATTATCTTTCACAAGGTAATATCTACTTATATTTTCTATAAAAGTATTATTTTCTTTTAAATTTATAGGTCAAATAATCTATCCAACTGTTCATCATCAACATACTCATTATGTTCAACCAAAACTTCATCATCATCATCAGTAATATGATTATCGTTCTTTTTTTTTTCACTAACATAATTATGGTGTTTTTGATTGGTTTTTTTCATAAACATCATGTTCTTATTCGTGTTCATGTTCTTATTCTTGATTATGTTCTTATTCTTGATTATGTTCTTGTTCTTGTTCATGTTCTTCGATTAATATACTGATGATGATTGTCTGGTTTGTGGTCTTCTTAAAACTATTTTCTCCTTCACTATCAATCATTGATCTTAACTTTTTCTGATACATAATATTATAGTTCAGATTTTTCGTTAACATATAATCATAACTGTTGATTTTTTTCTCTATTATTAGGACTTTTTTTTACTTATTATTAATCGTTCTGGTCTTTATATTTCATTGATAAATATGATTTTTGTTGTTGATTCTTTCATTAAGACAATAATGACTCTAAATAATTTTTCCTTAATAAATTCATCGTGATTTTCCTGGAGATCTTGCAAAAGTTATTCGAATTGTGAAAAACAAGTGCATGTAGTCAAACTTTTCTTAGTATTTAAAACAACAATTAATGGGCTTGTTCTTTTTTTTTTCTATCGTTCATTTATACTGACAAAAAAAGGTATATCTATACAAAAAAAAACGAACGAAATTCAGTTAACTTTTTGTCCTTTATAAACCGGTGGTTTTGGATCACTTGGTAAATCAATAAATTCTTTTTCAACTTCAATATTTGTTTGTTCTTCTACATTTTTTTTATGTGGAAGATCACTTAATGTCATATGTTTTCGTGGTGGTGGATCTTGAAATAGTCCTGGACCTTCGAGTGGATATCGAACATGTGAATATGGATTATCAAGTGGTCGATATTTATCAGCAGCTGTTAATACTTCTTCTTCTTTTAATTGTTCATCCATTTTTTTAATTTCATCTAATGATTGTTGTATTGTATGTACTTGATCATCATATTTTGGACCAACACACCATAATGTTTCAAGATCATTTTGTTCACGCATTTCAGCATCCATTAAATGTAAAACAATATGACCTAAGAAATGAACAAAAAAAAAAGAATTAATTTGACAATTTTCTGTCCTATAAACTTACCCATATCCATAGCATGCCATTTTGTACCATCACGACATTCATTACTTAAGTAAGGATCACTTGGTTTTTTTTTAGCTTTATACTAAATAATAAATATTTATATGTACAGGACGTCCTCAAATTCACTATACAAATAAAAATTCGAATATCTTCGCCGCGTTTTGATCATAATGATAGTTTGTTTGTTTTTTTTTAATTTCTAAAAAACACTTTCTGTGAAGGATTTCTATATAAGAGAGATATTCGAAGTTTTTTTTTCCATAATAATTTCAGAGACATCCTGTATAATTTTTTATTTTCATTTGAAGTGTTCTTCCTTACTAATTTATTAATATATTCACTTGCACTTTTCAAATGACGAGCACTAACAGCAGTAGCCAATACTAAATATCGAGCATATTGTTGTTCTGGTGGAATTTCAATAACACATATATCTTTCATACGTTCATCACGAAGTATTTGAACAATATCGTCTAAATCAAATACACCTGTTTTTCCACCTAGAAGAGAAAAAACAAAATAAACAATAAGTTTTTTCTGTCTACAAATAAAAAAGCAAAGAAATAATCTAATACAGACGATTGATATGATGACGATATTCATCACGTGTTGAAGGTTGATTATTAATTTCAAGTTTTTCAAATTCATATAATTTTTCAATTTCATGTTTACGTTCTTTGGGAATATTTTGAGCAATTTCTTCTACTGTATATTGATTTCCTGGATGAAGACGAACACGAGGTTCATCATGTGAACGAGAATTTGATGATCGACTAGCTGAACGATATATAATGAAAGGTGATTGTCGAATAAATGAAGGTATTAAACGTAACATTATTTTATCTGAAATAAAGATATTAAACACTAGAAAAGTAACTATTTATTTGATATACTGTCAATCAACAAAATATTATCTGGAAGATAAAAGAAAGAAAAAAAGAAAGCCTAACAAGTGCTCAAATACATAAAATATTTAAATATGAGCTCTTTTGTTTTTTTTTAAGATGCAGTTAATTCAAGCATTTTTTGAATATTGAGTATTTTTTCACGTGGTTTTCCTTTTGCATTACCAAGATTTGTTTCATGTGCATCTAGTTTTTTCCAATCTTCATATGAAATACATCGAATTTGACGAGATTTAGCAAGTGCTATTAAACCATCACCTCCTGATTTAACATCATGTAAATTAGTTAAATGACCTTGTTCAACATCTTCCATAATTCGTTTAGCAACTGTATGAGCTAGAAAATATTAAAAATAATAAATTAATAATAGAATTGAAACTTATCATACATTCTGTTGTAGTTTCAGCAATAACACCTCGAGCTCCTCGTCCAATCCAACCAGTACAATAGAAGCCAGGTCGATCATCAATACGATATTGTCGATTTCGAATAATACCACGTTCTGTATCAAATGGTAACCATGGATCGATCTATATTCAAATAAAAGTGGCCACTCAAAAAGGCCCCATATTGTTCTTTACTGTTATCCGATACTGTATTCTAACTTTTTTTTTTTTTTTTTGGTATTGTGAATTTGAAGAACGAGATGTCTTTCCAATGTGTCATGTTTACGCAAGATACTACATATTCTCGAATAATTTACAGTAAAAACTAAAATATACCACTTACCATTTTAGCTTCATTAGAGTCGAATATCCTATAATGTATGGAATACTTCCTGTAGAAGCATTATACTTAAACTTCTTGGTTATCTTTATCCGTATAGAATCTGAGGAAAACTAATTTCATAAGTCCGATATTATTACCGACAAATGATCTAAGAGTAGTACATAGAAGGATGGCAGCTAAGTTCGAATGTACTAACTCTCATATACATGATGATTTCTCTAGACATGAACGAAACTATCTTGCTCATGTCTATACTCACTCTGCCACATGTTCGATGATAACATATTTCTATACTCGAACTGAATAAGAAAAAAATAATTCTCTTAATTCTTACCTGGACGCCATAATAACCAATACTTTTAATGACAAGACCACATGGTATTGTTTCTATAGTTCCATTTGGTTGAACGGATAGATTTGGATCAGAAAAATCACCATTAGCTACCGATTCTGTATGTTCGAAATCAACACTTTCAACCAGTGTTTTTCCATTTAATTGTTTTGGACGACGCCAAAATTTTAAATACCAAAATCGTTCAGCATTATTTTGTGATTGTTCTATAGATAAAAATAGTTTTCTTAAGACATAGTAATAAATTTCAAAAAAAAAAGACAAACAAACTTGTTCGAGCTGTTTTTAACATTAATTCAGATAATCTTTTTCTTGGTCGTTCTAATTTATCAATCATAGTTTGATCAATTTGATTAAAATCTTCTTTATTTAACATTGATTGTACACCATTTAATTTAGTAAGTTCACGAAGTTCTTTTATAGTAAATGATACTTGCATAGGTCCACGTCGAGCAACAAGTATTACATGTCGTATTCGACTTTGACGAAGTGTATCAAGTGCTATATCAGTAATATCTGTTTTAGCTAAATCATCAATAGATGAAAGAAGCATTCGAGCACAATCAAGTGCTACATTTCCCATTCCTATAATAACAGCTTGATCTGTATGATTAAGTTGTGGTCGAAGTTGAGCATTGTCTGGTACACCTATTTGAAAAATATTTTTCATTTTTTTTTTTTTTATAGTGAATTTAAAAAAAAATATTTTGTGTTTTTTTTTGCATCTAACCATTATACCATCCAACAAAATCTTTAGCAGAAAAAACATTTTCTAATGTTGTCTCACCAGGAATATGTAAATTACGTTCAACAGATGAACCATAAGCAAGAACAATAATATGATAAAATTCTTGTAATTCTTTTAATCCAATCGTTTTACCAATATGAATATTTCCAATAAAACGTACACGTTCATGTTCAGCTATTTTTGTAAATGTATTTATAACATTTTTGACTTCAGGATGATCAGGTGCAACACCATATCGAACAAGACCAAATGGTACAGGTGCTTTTTCAATTATATCAATTGTTGTTGGTATTGTTTGACTGAGTTTAAGTAAATTTTGTGTTAAATAAAAACCAGCTGGACCACTGCCGATAACACAAATACGTATGGGTGATGAAGATACTGTAGAATTGTTTGAAACTATTGAAAGTGATCGTCGAATAAGACAAGGTACAAAACAACGTCGGATAACATTAGTAAACATTGACAAAATATTAAAAATAATTCTAGAATCAAATATAAAAAAATAATTTTTAGACAAACTTTCGATGGCTTAACTTGTAAACATTCTCTCTTAATGGACGCCTCCTTTTTGGAAACGTTTAGGCGAACAATTATGAAACGTTCAAGGCAGATAAATCTCGATAAGTAGAGCAAACGTTGTCATAGAAATATGAAGATTATAAAGGCCAAAAGTGGCTAGAATTTTCCTCTCAGCAAAATTCTATACTTCTTTTTTTCGAGCTGCAATGTTTTTATGACAACAAGGATCAAATTGAAGTACGTGTTGTTTTCAATGGTATAAAGTTTTTAGAGACTGCTGAATTTCATAGAAACAACATTTTGAAGAAAGAAAAAAAACATGGACTCCAATGAATGATTTTTGCATTTATTCTATAACATAAATTTGTCTAATTTGCAATGAAATTAAAACTTTAAACATTTCAATTTTATTCTTTTGTTATTCTTCAATCTTATTTATGAATATCTTATCTATTAAAAATAATAACCAAATATCATGTTAAACATTTTTTTTTTTCACATTGAATATACAATAATACAGAAAGAAAAAAAACATGAATAGTTCTATTTTTGAGTTTTTTGTTTTTTAACTTCGATCATAGGTCGTTCACTTGTAGTTGATTGTGAATC